TTTATTTATTTTATTTTCTATATTTATACACTGCCCCTCTCAACCTGCAGTTGTTGTTGTTGTTGTTGTTGTTGTTATTATTATTATTATTATTATTATAAAATAATAGTAATATAGATATAATATAAGTTATAATATAGATAGGATAAATGTATAATATAATAAAATAATTAATAATATAGATGGATGGATATGAGTGATGTGCATCTACTCTGGATTTAATGAACTTTGGCAACACTTGAAGTGCAGAGAGATCTTCATCAAGCCCGCCTTCTCCCTATTGAAAGAGCGTTCTATTTTTTTTCCTAAGGCAGTAAGAAGCCAGACCTTGAAATTGCTAGGCCATTAAATGCTAATCAAGGTGGCCAATTGAAACATTCACACCTACTTCCACAGACAAGAGTTCTTTCTCCCACCTAGGACATTATTCCACAGATATATAAACCTCATTTTCCTAGTTTCCAACAGACCTCACAACTTCTGAGGATGCCTGCCATAGATACAGGCAAAACATCAGGAGAGAATGCTTCTGGAATATGGCTGTACAGCCCAGAAGACTCACAACAACCCACTTTTTGTTCAAGCCATGGCTGATACTGAAATGAGAGACTCCCCCTGGGCACACAGAAGACTGGGGGACTTGCAAGGTGCTGAACAGACTGCTCTCTGGCACCACGAGATGCAGAGCCAACCTTAAGAAATGGGGCCACAAAGTGGAGTCCACGACATGCAAGTGTGGAGAAGAGCAAACCACAGACCCCATATTACAATGCAGTCTGAGCCCTGCCGTGTGCACAATGGACGACCTTCTTATAGCAATGCCAGAGGCACTCCAAGTGGCAAGCTACTGGTCAAAGGACATTTAGTATAATGCCAAGTTTTTAAACTTTGTGTGTTTTTACATACATTACAACTGTATCCTTGGTTCGCTCCTGATATGATAAATCAATAAGCCATCCAGTGCTCTTACTCACCTCTTACTATTTCTTGCTCCACTGTTTGGCTGGTATTGCACCGACATCTCCTGGGAAGTAGCAACCAGTAGCGAAAGGACCAAGGCAGTGACATCTCCATTCCACTCCCTGTTTGGGTATCAGCCAGTATGACAACAACTTAAATCAAGAAATAGTTTTCTAAGATCTACAGAGACACTCGTTGTAACACCTTAGCAAGCGAGAGTCCAAAAGTGGCAGGCTCAAACCCAGAACCTCAGCCAATGGCTGATACCAAGTGAAAGACTCCCTCCTGGGCACACAGACTGCGCTCTGGCACCACAAGATGCAGAGCCAACCTTAAGAAATGGGGCTACAAAGTAGAGTCCACAACATGCGAGTGTGGAGAAGAGCAAACCACAGACCTCTCCTATTCGAATGCAGGCTGAGCCCTAGCACGTGCACAATGGAGGACCTTCTTATAGCAACAGCAGAGGCACTCCAAGTGGCTAGCTTCTGGTCAAAGGACATTTAATAGAATGCCAAGTTTGCAAACTTTGTGTGTGTTTAAATATAATACAAATGTTTGTTTCACTCCTGACACGATAAATAAATAAATCTCTTGCTCCCGGAGTTGTCCTTTTCTAAGCCTGGTCAGCTTTTCTTACCTTCGTTCCTCTATTAAAGCTGCACAATGGCAGCACAGCCCAGGGGGAAAATGTGTGTCATTGGGCCTTTTAGTGTAACTCATATTGGGTCAACATCTGCCAGAGCTTAAGTACAAATTGATCAGTCGTGTTGTGTCCCTGTTTGGAGCAACCACTGTAGGATATTAGAGAAGCTTGTGTAATCTATTTTAACCTACTTAGACTGCCTATACCGCCACAATTTTTGCTTTGTAAAAAATCATTTTGATAAGCATTGTTCTGTATGAGGGCAGTCTCTTGCTCTCAAGGTCAACCTTATAGTTATAACTCTATTATAACTCTATTCTGTAACTCTGTGATAAAGATAAACATGCATGGTACACTTAGTTGGTTAGAGGAAAGATGAGGAATAAGTCTATAGGGTATTATATTTAAAATCAGGTGTTGACTATAGTTTAGCACAGGCATAGAAATTACACTCTTCCTGGGCTGCATATGGCTCCCAGTGAGGTTTTGCAGTCCTTTTCCTCCTGATGTTCTCTGGACCATCCTCCAAAAAATCGGGTGCCCTGACAAATTAGTGACCATCCTGCGGCTCCTCCACAATGACATGATGGCAACAGTCTTGGACAGCAATGGCTCCCAAAGTGACCCATTTAAACTGGAATCAGGTGTCAAACAGGGATGTGTTATTGCCCCAACCTTACTTTCCATCTTCATCACTATGATACTACATCTTGTTGATGGGTACCTTCCCATCGGAGTGGAAATCATCTATCAGACAGATGGCAAGCTATTTAACCTCAGCAGACTGAAAGCCAAAACCAAGGTCACATCAACATCTGTTATAGAACTTGAGTATGCCGATGATATTGTAGTCCGTGCACATTCAGAAGAAGACCTACAAGCCACTCTAAACACCTTTGCAGAAGCATATGAGAAGCTCGGCCTGTCACTGAACATTGAGAAAACCAAAGCACTCTTACAGCACTCACCAGCCAGTCTCTCTGCAATGCCAGAAATACAGCTTAATGGTGTAACCTCACTGGGAGCTTAATGGTGTAACATTAGAAAATGTTGACCATTTCCACTCCCTTGGCAGCCACCTCCCCACAAAAGTCAACATTGACACTGAAATACAACACTGCCTGAGCTCTGTGAGCGCAGCATTTTTCCAAACGAAGCCGAGAGGATCGGGACATCCGTAGGGAGACCAAGGTGCTTGTTTATAAAGCCATTGTCCTCCCAACCCTGCTATATGCCTGCGAAACGTGGACTGTCACACTCAACTCCTGGAACAATTCCACCAGCCTTGCCTCCAAGAAATCCTGCAAATTTCTTGGGAAGACAGGCAGACAAATGTCAGCGTGCTGGAAGAAGTAAAGACAACCAGCATTGGTGCAATGCTTCTGCGCCATCAACTCCACTGGACTAGCCACGTTGTCCGAATGCCTGATCATTGCCTCCCAAAACAGTTACTATACTTCCAACTCAAGAATGGGAAACTTAATGTTGGTGGACAGGAAAGGAGATTTGAAGATGGGCTTATAGCCAACCTTTAAAATTGTGGCATAGACACTGAGAACTGGGAAGCCCTGGCCATTGAGAGCTCTAACTGGAGGTCAGCTGTGACTAGCAATGCTGCAGAATTCGAAGAGTCACGGATGGTGGGCAAGAGGGAGAAACATGTCAAGAGGAAGGCGCATCAAGCAACCCTGACCAGGACTGCCTTCCACCTGGAAACCGATGTCCTCACTGCGGAAGAACATGCAGATCAAGAACAGGGCTCTACAGTCACCTACGGACCCACCGCCAAGACACTACACTTGGAGGACCATCATCCTTGAACTACGAGGGATTGCTAAGAATTTAAAAAAAAATGTGGAAGCTACAAGTCTCCAAAAGTGGTAGTTCTCCTCTTAAACAAGCCAAATGTTATGACAGTATATTGAGCAGGTTGTTTTTATCTGAACTGAAATTAATCATCACTTAAAAAATATGGCATTTACAGATGTGTGTCTTTTTGCCTGTGTAGGTGTGTATTGTGTATGTATTGCACTTTTTCTGGAAGGTTGCTGTTGTGGTTCAGTCTGAGCCTGAGCTTTCTGAGACTGAGTTTCCTCAGGATGAGGAGGATGATGGGATTTCTGGACATGTTCCGGTTAGTGAGACAAATGATACAGACAGTGTTAATTCTGAAGAAGAGACGGCATTTCTGTTACCCAGAGAAAAGAATGTGGTTTTAGATAAGGATAGTGAAACTTCGGAGCTCCAGGTGGAGGCTCCTTCTGGGAGCTCAGGGCCTCCTGGTTCCCAGGGTGACCAGGCCCAACAGGGCAAAGATAATGAGCTATCCAGCCTTGAAGATAGTGGAGACTTGATTAGACAGGACCATTTGCAATTAAGAGTTCGCAGAAGCGAACGCCTTGCCAACAAACGTGAAGCTAGAGGTCAACGTAATGCTTTCATGTTGGGAGAACATATTTAATGATCTGATCGAAGGGCATTCTTTGTCAATCCAGTGTTGCTTATACCCTGTTAACTTCTGTGGAAATACCTTGGTTTTTGCGGAAARCTTCTGGCTCTTTGGGACTTTGATTTTGATCCTGATTTTTGGAGACCTTATCCTGCTGCCATGGACTCTTGTTTAACCAATGCTAAAGGACTATGTTTCATGTTATTTGCCTCTGGATTTTGGGAACTTTGCCTTTGCATTTAAGACTCTGTTTTGCCTATTGAAATTTTGCATCCTTATTTCTCTGTTTTGATTTTGTTTTTCTCAATAAACTACAAAACCTACAGCCTTGGTGTGTGGTGGTGTCTTGAGCAAGGTGAATCTATCCTGAGTTGCGACAGTTGCCACCTCTGGCTGGTTATGATTTAAGGGCTTTAGACAAGTGTTGGGCATAATATAGCCATTCCTTGTCTATCATAAAAAGTAATGGGTAAGGCAATACCGATTGCCGGAGCTATAAATCAGTTCCTGAATCAGGCTAATGGGAGCTTGACCTTGGCACTTGCAGGTGGGGTTTTATACACACACAGAACTCTTTGATAGATGGCAAGCTGAAGTTTTATCATTTATGTCCTGGATCTAACTTGTCTGAAACTACATCTGCGGTGCCTTTTTAAAGCTGTCATATCAATCTTTGACTTATATGAGTTCCTTGGTATCATTTCTTCTATAATGGGACTTACAGTGTTCCGAAACCTTGTAGATTCAGAAATATAGAAAGACAGAAAACCTTCTCTATCAATAAACTTTGCTGTGAGATGTTGGTGAGCTGGGGCATCAGCCCAGTTAGAGCCTAGGATTTTGTACAGAGGATCAGGAGAACACTATGCAATTGGTCTAGATGTCTTCTCATTGAGTTTCCTGTGCCTCTGTTGTGTTGTCCTTAATCCCGACTTCCTTTTCCAGGTATTACCCGTGCCTGCCCATTGTTTCAGAGGCCTGTGGGGATGAGGTGCTACAGAGGTACTATCAATGCTTTTGTAGCCAGCTCTTCCCAGTGTTCGATGTAGTTCCTTTGGCATCGTGCTTAGTTCAGAACATCCTGACCTTCCTCTCAAAAGATCCCTTTTACTCTTTGTCATCCCTCCGTTTGCTTGATCCTGATCCGTGACATTTCTCCTTAAATGTTTAGACCAATAATGATTTTTAAACTGTGTTCTTTGCTTTGCAGCGTTCAGTATAACTTGTTTCCTGTGCTGCACATATAATTTAACCACTATTAGGCCATGGGCTGAGGATGGGAGAGTAGGGCATGTTGGGGGAGGGGGTTTCCAGTAGGCAAGGGGTTCCCATAGAAGTAATATCAGGGAGGGAAGATACTTATTTATTTATTTAAAACATTGATATTCCACCCTTCTCACCCTGAAGGGGACTCAGGACGGAGCACAGCATATACACGGCAAACATTCGATGCCGAGATACAGATTCATATACAATACATAAACATTAAAAATCATTTATCAAAATATTAAAATACACCATTTAAAACCATCCTAGTCATCCACGTCAAATCTAATTGGCTTTCATCATGGAGGAGCCACAGGATTGGTCCCACAGCCAAGTTTTTACCATCCTTCTAAAGGACAGGAGGGAGGGGGCCGATCTGATCTCACCAGGAAGGGAGTTCCATAGTCGAGGAGCAATCACCGAGAAGGCCCTGTCTCTCGTCCCCACCAATCGTGCCTGTGACAATGCCGGGAGGGAAAGCAGGGCCTCCCGGGAGGATCTTAATCTCCACGATGGTTCACAGGGGGAGATGCATTCGAACAGGTAATTTGGGCCGGGGCCGTTTAGGGATTTATAGGCAAAAGTCAGCACTTTGAATTGTGCCCAGTAGCAAACTGGCAGCCAGTGGAGCTGGCGTAACATGGGAGTTGTATGTTCCCTGTACCCCGCTCTAGTTATTAACCTGGCTGCCTCTCGGACTATTTGAAGCTTCCAAGCAGTCTTCAAAGGCAACCCCACGTAGAGTGTGTTGCAGTAGTCTATCCTAGATGTAATGAGGCTTGGACCACTGTGGCCAAGTCTGATTTCTCATTGTACGGGCGCAGTTGGCGCACAAGTTTTAATTGTGCGAATGCTCCCCTGGCCACCGCTGCAACCTGGAATTCCAGATTCAGTGATGAATCCGGGAGAACTCCCAAGCTGTGAACAGGAAATGGAGACCTCCAATTCAGCCTAGGGAACGAGAGAGAGTACGAATAGTTTCAAAATGGTCTCCTGACAGGGTAAAACCGAGTGCCCAGGATGGTGGTCCCTTTGGTTTAAAGGTGGTGCTGTTGAATGCCAGGTTTGTAAATGGAAAAACAGATGAGTGTGCAGATCTGGTGTACATAATGGAGACCTAGTTGGATGAGGCTTGGGGCAGGGGCGGGGGGAGATGTTAAATAAATAAATGTGTGATTCTGGGACCTGAGAACCCAAAGAACAACAGACAGAATTATTTCCTTCCTTGTGTTTTGACAATACAGTTGCTCCTCCAACGCACTATGGTCCTCCTTCTATCTAGCTTCAAAGCCAAGGTGTTCCTATGTCATAGGGTTGGATAAACTCTGATCCATGGGCCACATGCTTCCTCCAGAGTAGCTTTGTTTGGTCCCTAAGCTTCTCCAACAAAAGTAGAAAAGGGAATTTGTCCCCTATTTGTTAATAATCAGTTTTAGAGACCTTCCAAACAACACCATTCCTTCCCCCAAAACTGTATTTAGCCCTTGTTGTTTTTATCAAATTGCAGGTAATCTCCCTAAACTCATTCTCTGATATTAATAAAATGCTGAGACAAAAGAAGAGGTTTTACAGAGTAACTTCAGTAGAAGAAGCAGGTTTCTACTGGGCTGAAACTGGAAATGACTTTGGATTTTATTTTGGGGTGCATTCCACTGATGAGGCATATAGGTGGTAGAACCTATGCACCGTACAGATTCATACGCAGATATAATTGCTCTCTTGCAAGGATCAGAAATGCATTTAGAAGCTCAGCATTTTCAAGTCTTATGTAAGAGGTATGGTGCTTCTGAAAAGAGTGCTCAAGTTGCTCTATGCACCAATTTGGGCGGTGAGAGAAACAGGTACAAATACCTAATTCAAGGAGGTATTTGTTTATTTGCCTTCTGCAACTGCAGTTGAAACCACTAGTGTTGGATCAGGAAAGCTCCAGTTCAGAACTCAGTTCCACTATGAACATACAGAGTTTCTTTAGACAAGTGACTCTTCTCTCTGTATTCAGTAATCTTCCTGCCTTTATAATATTATAATGTAATGCAATATAATAATAATAATTGTAATAATAATTGTAATATAATATATTGTATATACATATAATATTTATAATATTATAATTATTACAATATAATACTAGTACTGGGGTGAAAATTGCTGGAAGAAACATTAACAACCTCAAATATGCAGATGACACCACTCTGATGGCCGAAACCTCTTTCTCTACATCTACCCCCTTCCTTCGCTCCCTCTTTCCTTCCTTCTTTCCCTTTTTTCTTTCCTTCTTCTTCCTTCTCTAACTTTCCTTCCTTCCTCCTTTTCTTTCCCTCCTTTCCTTCCTTCCTTCCTTCTTTCTTTCCCTCCCTCTTTCTCTCCTTTCTTCCTTGACAGATTAGAAGGGGGCGTGGCTTGGAGGTAAGGTGAGAAGGGTAAGAGGGAGGAGGGGGGGGGGATGGGTTTGGTTTAGAAGGGGGCGTGGCTTGGAGGTAAGGTGAGAAGGGTAAGAGGGAGGAGGGGAGGGGGGATGGGTTTAGAAGGGGGCGTGGCTTGGAGGTAAGGTGAGAAGGGTAAGAGGGAGGAGGGGAGGGGGATGGGTTTAGAAGGGGGCGTGGCTTGGAGGTAAGGTGAGAAGGGTAAGAGGGAGGAGGGGAGGGGGATGGGTTTAGAAGGGGTACCGCGCCGGGGGGTTGAGGGCGCGGGCGCGCGCGTGTGTGTGTGCCGCGCGGGGGGTGAGGGGGGGCGCGCGTGCGTGCGTGTGTGCCTCGTGTGAGGGGCGCGTGTGTGTGTGTGTGTGCCGGGGGGGTGAGGGGGCACGCGCGTGTGTGTGCATGTGTGTGTGTGCCGCGCGGGAGGGGGGAGAGGGGGCGCGTGCGCGCGCGTGTGTGCCGCGCGGGTGGATGGAGGGGCGTGTGTGTGTGTGTGCCGCGCCGGGGGGTGTGAGGGGCGCGCGCGCGCGTGTGTGTGTGCCGCGCGGGGGGTGAGGGGGGGCGCGCGTGCGTGCCGTGCCGGGGGGTGAGGGGGCACGCGCGCGGGTGTGTGTGTGTGCCGCGCCGGGGGTGAGGGGCCGCACCTGTGCGTGTGTGTGTGCCGCGCGGGGGGGGGAGGGGGAGGGGCCATGTGTGCGCGCGCGTCGGGAGTTTGCGCCAGAGCGCATGCTCAGTTCGCCGCGCGCGCGTGTGTGCCGCGGGGGGGGGCAGGGGCGGCGGGTGCGCGCGTGGCGGGGAGTTTCCGACGCGCGCGCGTGTGCCGCGGGGGGGGGTTAGGGGCGGCGGGTGTGCGCGTGGCGGGGAGTTTCCGCCGCGCGCGCGTGTGTGTCGCCGGGGGGGGGGGGCGAGGGGCGGCGGGTGCGCGCGTGCCGGGGAGTTTGCGCCAGTGCGCATGTTCAGTTGTTTTGTGGTGTTGTTGTCGTTGCAGTTGTGTTTTTTTTATTTTGGAGTAGATTAGTTTGTAGCGAGTGGGTTGTCCTAGGGGCATGGCAATTTTGGTTCAGTTTCGTTGGGGGGTTGTGGAGTTATGCGACGCCGTACGACGCCCCCTACAGATTTATATATATAGACTAGTACTACTAATATGATATTATAATTATATATTTATAGTACATGTAATATTACTAATAATATTATGATATAGTGGTATGGTGCAATATAGCAATGTTTAATGCTGATAATAATGATAATAATAATAATAATAATAATAATTTATTTATACCCCGCTACCATCTCCCCAAGGGACTCGGTGCAGCTTATGGTGCAGCCGAGCCCAGAATACAACAATAAACAATAACAACAATAATACAAAACAATAAATAAACTCATAAGCAAAAAAGCAATAAACATTAACAATAACACGACGCATTTAAAAACCTATGGCTGGGCCAAATGTAATAATTAAATTTAAAAATAAAACTGGGCATGACAAGGTGACATATAACTGAGATAGGAGTTTTGGAGAGGGATGAAATGTGCAGACAATCTTAGATCACTAATTAATTGCATTTAGGGACATATTGTTGAGAGTTTCCTTATTTATTATGTATTGATATTGTACTATGCTAATAATATAATATATTGTATGTAATAATATACTTTGTAAGCCGCTCTGAGCCTCCTTTGGGGTGAGAAGGGCGGCATATAAATGTCGTAAATAAATAAATATAGGGCTGCTGCATTAACAGGGCCTTGTATCCACATCCAGAGTGATCTTTTGAATGCATGTTTCCTCAGGAAAATCTTTCTGGCTTGTATGAATGGGATAAGGTGGGAGTGGGAAGCTCCAAAGACCTCGGAAGTGGTCTTTGAGCACCCACTTGCTTGTATTGGAAATGTGAATGCTTTGGATAGCCAGGTTCCTTACTATCTATCCGTTATTGTTTTGACTAATGTAAGGGGGAAAGAAACTGATGAGTTATGCGGGGAAAGGACCATGGGGCAGTTGGAGCTCTTCTTATCGTGTTTGCCTCTTCCTTGGAAGAATGGTGGAGTCAGGGCATCAACAGAACATTTTTTAACATTTGTTCCTGGAAGAATTGTTTCCATTAACATGCCACATTACTACAGCCACTATTTTGAAAAACAACTCTGTGACGATGTAAAATCTTAGTGTTGCTAGAGCCTTAGTAGACATCTCTATTTGCAAGCTGGTTCAGAGATAGGGTAGAAAACCAGAGAGCATGGGAGTTGGAAGTAACAGGTACAAAGCAAAGACAAGAAATAAACAACCTTTACTGTTGGATGAACTAGCATGGGCTAGTGACCATTGAACTTCAACAACATCTGGAAGACCTCAAGTCCTCTGTCTCTGGATTACTGTATCAGGTTGACCAATTTTGGTTGAAATTGTGGGGTTGCCTTTGAAGACAGCTCGGAAGCTCCAACTAGTCCAACGCTCGGCAGCCATGATTTTAACAGGAGCGGAGCGCAGGGAGCATACAACCCCCCTGTTGCGCCAACTCCACTGGCTACCGATTTGCTACCGGGCTGAATTCAAAGTGCTGGCGTTGGCCTTTAAAGCCCTAAACAGTTCTGGCCCAAGCTACCTATCTGACCGCATCTCTGCCTATGAACCCACCAGGACTTTGAGATCTTCCGGGGAGCCTGCTCTCGATCCCGCCTGCTTCTCAAGCTCGGCTGGCGGGACGAGAGATAGGGCCTTCTCGGTGGTGGCTCCTCGGCTGTGGAACGCCCTTCCTACGGACATTAGACTAGCACCATCTCTAATGGTATTCCGCAAAAAGGTGAAGACCTGGATGTTTGTGCAGGCGTTTGAGTAATTTAGTGCAATCTGGTAATGGAATATAGGAATGGAACAATGGACGACGAACCTGGACTACGCTTGGATGATGAGAAGATTGGGTACAGTTGTTTTTCATAATAATTGTGCATTGTAATTGCTTATTGGTAATTTATGGATAATGTGTTAAGTCAATTGTTATATGTTGTATGGAACCACTGCTGTTTCTACTGTTTTTACTGTTTGTGAACCGCTGTGAGTCGCCTTCGGGCTTGAGATACAGCGGTATATAAGCAAAGTAAATAAATAAATAAGTAAATAAATTCAGTACAGCCCTAATATCCGTAATATGTTCCAGTACTTATTGTGGAACCAGGAAGCCATGGATAATAGTTTGAGATGAATGGCTTCTGCTGGAAGTTCCCATAAAGTCTCACTGGAGGACCTAGGAAAGTTTTAGACAGGTATTCTCTCTAGGAATTTGGCTGGATCCTCCAGCGAGACTCTATGGCTGGCTCTACACAGCCATGTAATGCAGTTTCAGAATGAAGATTAACTGCATTATATATGAGTCTACACTGTCATAGTTATGCATAATATGCATAGTTAAAGCAATGGTGTTCCCCATAGTAACCTATCAGTGTGAGAGCTGGACCATAAGGAAGACTGAGTGAAGGAAAATAGATTATTTTAACTGTGATGTTGGAGGAAAGGTCTGAGAGTGCCTTGGACTGCAAGAAAATCAAACCAGTCCATACTTCAGGAAATAAAGCCCGGCTGCTCATTGGAGGAAAGGATATTAGAGGCCAAGATGAAGTACTTTGGCCACATCATGAGAAGAAAGGAAAGCTTAGAGAAGACAATGATGCTGGGGAAAATGGAAGAAAAAAGGAAGAGGGGCCAACCAAGGGCAAGATGGATGGATGGCATCCTTGAAGTGACTGGATTGACCTTGAAGGAGCTGGGGGTGGCCACGGCCGACAGGGAGCTCTAGTGTGAGCTGGTCCAGGAGGTCATGAAGAGCTGGAAGCTACTGAACAAATAAACAACACACTGTCATATAATCCAATTCAATACAGTTCATTGGCATTCTGAATTCATATTATATGGCAGTGGAGATCTATCCTAAGGTGGTAACATCCAGCATAAGCATACCATATGTTTTCTGGAGGACCTAGAAGATTTCTAGAGAGGACATATTTTGTTGAATGCAGGTAGGTGAAAACGTAGGGCTTAAGTACGTAATAAAAAGATAGTTGAATACTCAGTTCTTCACTCAAAGGTTGGGCAGCCTGCGCAAGTGATTTCAGATCCACGAAGTATAATTCTTTGCATTTAGAAACACAGTGTATTGTAGAAATGATCCCCTCCTATCCTTTACCTGATGTATTTTTCCCCACGTATGGGCCTTTTTGAATGAAAACGCAATAAATTGAGCTACTGCTAGCAACTTGAACTCATACAGATTTTCTATATGAGTGAGAACTACAAATATGCATGGGATGTTTCCGTTCCCAATTTTCCCTTTTGCTTGTTTACATGACTTTGCAGTGTTCACAGCATAAATTGGTGACTTAAACTTTCACTGTTTGCATGGATGTCTCCATATGTTTTTTTCTCCCTTGGCTTGGCTCCCATTCCTGTTTCCTTCCTGTTCCAGGTTGAACTTCACAGACATGGTCCCAGTGCGCATGAGGGGCCGGGTGCTAGGCTTACAGGCCAAGAATGCCCAGTTCCTGCTGGAGGAGAGGCCCTTCCGGATTTTGGGAGGCTCGCTGCACTACTTCCGCATCCCCCGAGAATACTGGGAGGACCGCCTGATGAAGATGAAGGCCTGTGGCTTGAACACTGTCACGACGTAAGTGTCTGCCATGTGGCTGGAGATGGCAATGCCATCAAAGCAGTTTAGGGAACTGCTGTTGTCCAACTACTTTGTAATAATAATAATAATAATAATAATAATAATAATAATAATAATAATACAGGTGGTCCTTGCTGTTGTCCAACTACTTTGTAATAATAACAACAACAATAACAATAATACAGGTGGTCTTTGCTGTTGTCCAACTACTTTGTAATAATAATAATAATAATAATAATAATAATAATAATAATAATAACAACATAGGTGGTCCTTGCTGTTGTCCAACTACTTTGTAATAATAATAATAATAATAATAATACAGGTGGTTCTTGCTGTTGTCCAAATACTTTGTAATAATAATAATAATAATAATAATAATCAAGGTGGTCCTTGCTGTTGTCCAACTACTTTGTAGTAGTAGTAATAATAATAATAATAATAATAATAATAATAATAATCCAGGTGGTCCTTGTTGTTGTCCAACTACTTTGTAATAACAATAATAATAATAATCCAGGTGGTCCTTGCTGTTTTCCAACTACTTTGTAATAATAATAATAATAATAATAATAATAATAATAATAATAATACAGGTGGTCCCAGTGGTCATTGGTGCCATGCCAAAAGATCTCAGCCGGCATTTGGAAACAATAAACATCAACAAAATCATGATCTGTCAACTGCAAAAAGCCACCTTAGTTGAATCTGCGTCCAACATTCAAAAATACGTCACACAGTCCTAGACGCTTGGGAAGTGTTTGACTTGTGATTTTGTGATACGAAATCCAGCATATAGATCTCGTTTGCTGTGACATACTGTGCTTTTGTGTCAATAATAATAATAACTATATTATTATTATTACTATTACTATTATTATTATTATTATTTCTTTTGGCTTGAGGAAGGGCACATTAGTCAAATCTATAAAATCACATATTAAAATGCAAACATCAGAGTACATATTAAAACATAAACATATTCAGACTAAAAGTTAAAATGCATTAAACATAGAGTGTGATTTAAAAGTCATAGTTAAAACCAACTGGGTAAGTTGGGTTGTTGTAGATTTTTTTCGGGCTATATGGCCATGTTCTAGAGGCATTCTCTCCTGACGTTTCACCTGTATCTATGGCAAGCACCACCTCTGAGGATGCTTGCCATAGATGCAGGTGAAACGTCAGGAGAGAATGCCTCTAGAACATGGCCATATAGCCCGAGAAAACCTACAACAACCCAGTGATTCCAGCCATGAAAGCCTGGATAAGCCTTCTGGAAGCGATAGATCTTCAGTTGCGTTTTACATTCTTACTGCTTATTTTACTCATTTAGTTGTCAGATCTCTTCCAGCAAGTCATTCTAACTTGAGTCCAGGCTTTCTGAAAGACTCTATATTGAGCCTGTCTGTTCTGGGCAACACTACTGCAAAATCAAATATTTAATGCACTTCATATTTGAATTGAGGAAAATTGCTTCCTATTACCCAACTGTATTGTGTTGCAAAAACTAATTCGTTCCTTGTTTTGCCATCTCACCTCCTCACACTGGTGATTTAGGTTCTCAGACAACTTCTTCTATGTTCCAGGTACGTCCCGTGGAATCTCCACGAGGCAATAAGAGGGAAGTTTGACTTCAGTGGAAACCTGGACCTGCAGTATGTATATCAAGAAATCTATCTCAAAAACTAAGTCCTCCAATGTGAAAATTGTATTGATCTGGGATAATTTTCTTCATATCGTTGATTGATTCTTATCCTTGTTGTAAACCGCGTTGAGTCGCCTGTTGGGCTGAGAAACTGCGGTATACAAGTAAAGTAAATAAATAAATAAATAAATAAATTTTATCTTACATGTAATGTTACTAATAAATATTATATATTTTATTTATTTATTTATTTATTTATTTATTAATGCGCTTGTATACCGCTAATATCTCAGCCTAAATCGGCGACTCATTGCGGTTTACAACAATTAAAAAACAATATTCAATTTAAAAGCATAAAACACATATACAATACAAGTTATTGGGCCACCAATAACAATCCCATGCATCTCGTAACTGAAATCGCAATCCAAAATTCGTCGTCCATAATTACCCATCCTTTAGTCATCAAAATTCGTTGCAACGGATTAACCGAATGCTTGTTTAAACATCCATGTCTTCAATCTTTTCCGAAACACCATCAGCGAAGGGGCTGATCGTACCTCTATGGGGAGGGTGTTCCAAAGCCGAGGGGCCACCACAGAAAAGGCCCTGTCTCTCGTTCCCACCAGCCGCACTTGTGAAGCCGGCGGGATAGAGAGCAGGGACTCCCCAGAAGATCTTAGGGTCCTGGTGGGCTGATAGGCTGAGATAATATATAATACTAATATTGTGCTATGCTAATAATATAATATATTGTATACACATATAATATTGATAATATTATAATATAATACCCTATAATACTAATAATAATATGATATAATAATTTTATATTCCATTTTACATGTAATGTTACTAATAATATTACAGTATAGTGGTATAGTACAATATAGTAATATATAATACTAGTATTGTACTATGCTAATAATATATTGTATGTATATATAACTTGTAAGCTGTTCTGAGTTTCCTTCGGGGTGACAAGAGCAACATATAAATGTCGCAAATAAATAAATAAATAAGGTTTCAAAGCATAGAGAATGCGGAGTCAGGAATTTCGGGGTGGGGGCTTGGTTTAGTTGGGTTGGAACAAGGCTTTGAAGAATTGGATGGGAGCTGTGTTCCTTCTCAAACTGTGGGTCCCGACCCCAAGTGGGGTTGCCTTAGCTCAATGTTGGGGTCCTGAAAAATTGGGCAGTGGTAAAAGGTCATCCAGACATTTACATGAATCTATTAGCAACAACAAGCAGTGTTTACAGTGGAATCTGTAGAAAATGCTCAGAAAAAGGAAAATCAAGCTGTTTAGCTAGCCTTGCAAATGTTGTTTTTTTCTATTAGGGGTTATGCAAAAATTTCTCGGGCGAAAAGTGGAAAACGTAACAAGTAGATAAGTTGCAGATTATTAGAAGGTGAGGTTTGTATATTAACCAGTTCCATAGAAAGATTTATTGGTGGTGAGATCTCCTACAGTTCTCTGAGCGTGTTGTATCAAACTTTCCCTTGCTCACGCCACTTGTCAGTAATAGGTGTTCAGAGTCTGCCAGATCTGTCTGGAATGGACTTTGCCCAGGCAAATTAAGAATCAGAAAGGCACAGTGACGGTGTCTGGTAGCATTTGGCCACATGACAAATCATCTTTGTTCTGGTTACTTAACGGTCTGTGTTCAGCTGTTGATGTTTTTCTTTTTTTTTCCATATCAGGAGCGACTTGAGAGACTGCAAGTCGCTTCTGGTGTGAGAGAATTGGCCGCCTGCAAGGACATTGCCCAGGGGACGGCAGGATGTTTCACCATCCTGGGGGAGGCTTCTCTCATGTCCCCGCATGAGAAGCAGGAGCTGACAGAGGGAGCTCACCCCGCTCCTCGGATTCGAACCGCCAACCTTTTGGTCAGCACAAGGGGTTAACCCACTGTGGATGGTAATACCAAGGATGGGCAATTTTTGCTTTCTGGAACTTTAGCAGGAATTGCGAGATGCTGAGCCTTAGTCACAGGATTAAAGCAGAACACAGTACAGGTGGCCCATCCCTTATCCAGAATTCCAAAAACTCCGGAGTTGTGGGCCAAGGCACCTGGGGACCCACAGGTTGAGAACCACTGCTCTAAATGCTCAGAGAGTGGGAAGAGTTGTGTCCGCCTTTAAAGCCTTTGACAACACATTGAATGCTTACTGTGAGCTCTTCTTTGCTGTTTAACTTGCCATTTGTTGTTAGCCACCAGGAAAAAGAAAGTATATAAAAATAAAGTAAAATAAATAAATAAATTCATGTTGTTTGCTGCCTCAACTGTTTTAAAAATTCTTTAGGGCTTTCATTAAGATGGCAGAAGAAGTTGGGCTGTGGGTGATTCTCCGCCCAGGACCATACATCTGCTCTGAGTGGGACCTTGGTGGATTGCCTAGGTAAGATATTATATGGGTCTCATTTGCCTTCCTCATTTGCAGCAGGAGGGAAGGGGAAGCTTGTCCCGTGTTGTGACTCAGCTGGGACCACAGAGTGCCTCTGATGAGGATGATGGGACTCAGGTTCACAATCTGGTTCAAAATGTGCCTGTTATAGTCAATGAGGAACAGGGTGTGGAAGTTCAGTTTCCCACAGCAAGGAAGGAGTTTGTTGATACTGAAACTAGCCAGGTGCAGGTGCAAATTGACTCAGAAAAGGAGTTTATTATTATTATTATTATTATTATTATTATTATCATCATCATCATCATTATTATTATTATTATTATTAAAAGGAGGACAGTTCTCAGCCTGATAATGAGCAGGAAGGCAAACCGGATAACACGAACGAACAAACTGACCTTGACGAAATGGGAACCTTAGATCGTGCTGACCGTTTGGAATTCAGAGTTCGAAGGAGTGTGAGAATAGCTAACGAGAAGGAGGTCAGAGGCCAAAGAAACGCCTTCATGTTTTGCAAAGGGTATTAAGCAGTGTGTTTGGGACCAAACCTTTGTCAAAGCAACTTTTCGTTTCCCCAAGAAGCTTGCATGTTGCTTGTCTGGATTATCTTGCAGTCCTTGTGTTCATGGTCTCAGGACTCAGTCATGTTCTCATGGGATTTTACTTTGCTGGTGCCTTTTTGGATCATGCTTCAAAGTGTTATTTTGTATTGATCTTTTAGAACATTACTTATTTCCCCCATTTATTATGATTTCTGTGGAGCCCCTGGTGGCACAGTGGGTTAAACCCTTGTGCCAGCAGGACTGGAGACCGACAGATCGCAAGTTCAAATTCGGGGAGAGCGCGGATGAGCTCCCTCTGTCAGCGCCAGCTCCTCATGTGGGGACATGAGAGAAGCCTCCCACAAGGATGAGAAAACTTTTTTTTTTTTTGTCGTGTCAGGAGTGTCCTGTTGTGAGAGAATTGGCCGTCTGCAAGGACGTTGCCCAGGGGACGCCCGGATGATTTTGATGTTTTATCATCCTTGTGGGAGGCTTCTCTCATGTCCCTGCATGAGGAGCTGGAGCTGATAGAGGGAGCTCATCCGCCTCTCCCCGGATTCGAACCTGCGACCTGTCGGTCTTCAGTCCTGCCGGCACAGGGCTTTAACCCACTGCGCCACCGGCTCCTGGTTCATGTATGAAATTGTTTCATTCAACCCCATCAACTACACAGGGCTCACAGAAGGGGTTCAGTCGTCTCCCACTGTTCTCTTCCATGTCTTTGGCATCTTTCTCTATCCATTCTGCAGGAACCAACTAAACATTAAAAAATCTCAGTTCTTGTGGGTTTTTTCGGGCTATATGGCCATGTTCTAGAGGCATTTCTCCTGACGTTTTGCCTGCATCTATGGCAAGCATCCTCAGAGGTGAGGTCTGCTGAGAATGCTTGCCATAGATGCAGGCAAAACGTCAGGAGAAATGCCTCTAGAACATGGCCATATAGCCCGACAAAACCCACAAGAACTGAGTGATTCCAGCCATGAAAGCCTTCAACAATACAAAAAAAAATCTTTTAATAAACTTTTTACTAAACTTTTTATCTTTTAATAAACTATAAAGACTTCTGGCTGTGTGCAGTTTGGTGTTTCAGCAAGGTGAACCTATTCTGAGGTGCGACATCCCGAGTGTTTCTCTTGTCGCCAGCAACAAAAGGGAAGGCTTGTTCATGTTCATTGCCCTTCTAGTCCCAGTTAGTCAAAGCAAAAGCATTTATTCCTCCCCCTCCCCTTGGTCTAGCATTCTGCACAAAACCAGTTAGTAACATTCCAGAGAGAATGCGTATAGGCAGCCATCAGAGGAGGCAGCACAAACAAGTCATGTTTATTCTCAGTTTGCACTGGAAATGTCAAGAGATTCCTCCTCCTCTCTTCTTGGAGCAGATGGCACAAAAAATAATTGGACACCTATATCAATATGGGATTAGCATTGTGTATGCACTTCTATGCATGTTCTTAGTATATTATTACCAATATTTCGCATGTTGGCTTGCATTTCTTTGCCTGAGTATGTTCATTCATTCATTCATTAGGCGATCCCTCGTCGGCCGAGTAGGATAGTCTTCCAGGATCAGTATACTGGAGGGTCCGTAGGTGACTGTGGAGCCCTATTATTGACCTGCATCTTCTCCCACAGAGAGCGCATTGGTTTCCAGGTGGAAGGCGGTCCCGGTCGGGGTTGGCTTGACACGCCTTCCTCTTGGCACGTTTCTCTCTTTTGCCCTCCATTCGTGCCTCTTCAAATTCTGCAGCACTGCTGGTCACAGCTGACCTCCTTGCTGGAGCACCCAAAGGCCAGGGCTTCCCAGTTCTCAGTGTCTATGCCAGAGCTTTGAAGATTGGCTTTGAGCCCATCTTTGAATCTCTTTTCCTGCCCACCAATGTTCCATTTTCCGTTCTTGAGTTTGGAATAGAGCAACAACTTTGGGAGACGGTGATCGGGCTTCCGGACAATGTGGCCGGTCCATTGGAGTTGATGGCAGAGGACCATCGCTTCAGTGCTGGTAGTCTTTGCTTCTTCCAGCACACTGACATTTGTCCGCTTGTCTTTCCAAGAGATTTGCAGGATTTTCCAAAGGCAGCGTTGATGGAATCGTTCCAGGAGTTGCATGTGACGTCTGTAGACAGTCCACGTTTCGCAGGCATATAGCAGGGTTGGGAGGACAATAGCTTTATAAACAAGCACCTTGGTCTCCCTATGGATGTCCCGGTTCTCAAACACTCTCTGCTTCATTCAGAAAAATGCTGCACTTGCAGAGCTCAGGCGGTGTTGAATTTCAGGGTCAATATTGACTTTTGTGGAGAGGTGGCTGCCAAGGTAGCGGAAATGGTCAACATTTTCTAAGGTTACACCATTAAGCTGTATTTCTGGCATTGAAAAGAGATTGGCTGGTGACTTCTGGAACAGCACTTTGGTTTTCTTGATGTTCAATGACAGGCCGAGCTTCTTGTATGCTTCTACGAACGTGTTTAGAGTGGCTAATGCCTGAGTATGAACCTCTAAAAAAATAAATATGTGGTTTTTATGTTGAGCTATGTTTGTGGGGAAGAGGATTCGAATCCCCCCCACTCAGCCATGAAAATTCACTGGGTGTGTCATGAATGACTTTTTTAAAAAAAAAAACAAACTAATTTTAATTATACACACACACACAAGTACAATCATTTTATTAGGATTACATAGAAAATGGGAGAACACTAAGATATAGGAAAGTAGGAAAATATTTAAGAAGAGATAGAAATAAGCTTTAAAAAAAGAGGAAAAAACACCTTACATACCTAAAAAAGTAGCAAAAATAGAAAAAATAAGGAAAAAGATAAGAAAATCATTTGACTTCCATTCTGTGTCTTCGCCAATAATATCTAATTACTTGTTTTTGTAATTTTCATTTAATTTTTCATCTTGCTCTATAAACTCCTTTATAAGAATGAATATGGAAAAAGCAGAGATAAATATAAAAATAAAAGAAAAAACACAAGCAAACAAAACAAAAAAAATCTCATTGTTAAGCACTGTCTCTCTGTTTCTCTACTTTGTCATATTTCTCAAAGGAAGACCAATCTGACCTTTTTATTGGACTTCCCGAGCTGTTCTTCAAAAAGAACGTTAATTTATCCATATTTGTCCTTAAATAAAATTTCCCGTATTTTATTTATCCAATCATCTATTTCCGGAGTTTTGTCTAATTTCCAAAGTTTTGCATATGATATTCTTGCTGCTGTTGAAATGTAAGTGAATAAGATGTCCTTATTTTGGTCCAAAATTAGATCTGAATCAGTAATATTTTGTAGATAGTTCTCTGGTTTTCTTGGGAATAGCATTCCCATTATTTTTTGGGACTCTTCTAATATTTTTGGGCTTCTCTACAAGTCCACCATATATGGAAGAAACTTCCATCGAGGTTGTGACATTTCCAACAGTTTTCCCCATATTTTTATACATTAGTCCTAATTTTTTGGAGGTAGTATACCATCTGTGGAATATCTTGAGCCAATTTTCTTTTAGATCCATCACATATGTATATTTTAGTTTCTTATTCCAGATTACTTCCCATTCGCTCAGATGGATAGGTCTATTGAAAATGACTTTTCAATAACTTTAAAGCATAGGTTCTTTTTATTGCAATTTCCAATGTGAGAGTGTATATCAGATTACAGAAAACATTTAGTAAAAAAATGACATTAGACATACAGGCATGCAGATTCTATGCAACTACATTGGATTACAATGACATTGGTTAACAAACAAAAAATGGGGAATTACATTTTCACTCAACATGTACACGCATTCATCCACATGCATCTAAAATATTACCATATTCTTTTCTCCCTCCTTGGAGAAGCACCTGTTAGGCCAGACCTTGCTTTCCTGCAGCCTGCCAATGTATAGTTTCATAACTTACATAACTTCAAAACTCCAAAATACATCCTTTCCCTAAGTGCAATGCCAAGGACCAGATCTCTGTTTTCCATACAGCAGAACCTGACTCTCTGCACAAAATCCAAGATTGTAGAAGTGCACTCCTTCCTCTTTCCTTGAGAAAGAGGGCCAAAGTGACCAAACTGCTCCCTTGCAAATCTGCCACTCTCCATACGTACACTATCTCTCTCCTTCCCATTGAGCAGAGCATAGTGGGTGGAACAAACTCCTCAGGTCTGCCACGCTTTGAGCATTATTAGATTGAGTCTTTTATAGGAATCTTCTGCTGATGTCATCCCAAAGTTGTAAATAAATGATAGACTTCTTCCATCCTGGCTCCATCTCAGTTTCCTGGCCAGATGTTGATCTTCTTGATTGGTGTTGGTTTGTGTTGACTTCCTTCTTAACATTGTAAACATTTCTGTTATCACTGTCCCAGTTCTTATCTCTTCTTATCATGTCGATCTTCCGGAGAGGCTCTTCTCTCGCTCCCGCCCGCATCTCAAGTGCGACTTGCGGGGATGAGAGAGAGGGCTTTCTCTGTGGTAGCCCCCCGGCTCTGGAACTCACTCCCCAGAGATACTAGGCAAGTCCCCACACTAGCAATCTTAAGGAGGAATCTGAAAACCTGGCTATTCCAGTGTGCCTTCAGTGATTGAATGTAAGAAACTCCCTGACCAAACTTTGTACTAAATGACCTTAGAAGCATTTTGTTTATGGTTCGTGCAATTGAATCCTCCCTCATTCTCGGATCCTCATCCTGATAATTTACATCATCCTATCTCCCAGTGTTTTTTTAAATTTTAGCCTTGAGTGTGGCCCTGCCCAGTGAAATCCTGTTTTTAATTGCTTGTTTTATATTGTTTGTGTCATTTATTATATTTTTCTTTGCATTTTATGTATTTTATTTTCCGGTATTGTTATGTTTTTGTATTACAATGTATGTACTGTACTGATGGGCGTGGCCTCATGTAAGCTGCACCGAGTCCCTCTGGGGAGATGGAGCAGGATATAAATAAAGTTTTATATTATTATTATTATTATCATCATCATCATCATCATCAGAGTTCACTTTTCATTTCTCATTAGCAACTTTTAATTACAGTCCAGCAAGCAGGTCGTTAGTTATTGCAGGCCTTAATCTTATACTGGTGTCTCCAAAATTATTAGCTTCATCCATACATTCATCTTCCATTCTTCTATTCATCAACATCATTATTAAATTCACATTTATCAAATCTGCACATTGAATTTCTTATTACAGGTGACCTTGGGAAAGTCACAGTCTCAAAAAAATCCCATGATAGGTTCATCTCTGAAATCACTCGAAGAGATAGACCACACCAGAAAAAACAAATAGTGCAACTGTAGGAGTAAACACAGTATTAGTCAGAAGGACTCCACACACTTAGAAGTTTGACTACAGGCCACATTTCACGCATAGGTGTATCAGCCATACTCAAATACTTCCTTCAGTCAACATTGCAACCTCGGTATCAATAATATGCAAACACTCTCCATGCAATATTACAACCTTGTGTAAACACCGTCCCCATGGTTTGAAGCCTGCCCTCACAAACAGTAAATGTAAATCATTGCATGGAAGTGAAACCAGGCAGTTTTTCAGAAATCCAGTATCAGATTCTGTTCAGATGTGCATTCACGTAATAGCATTTAAAAAGCAGCAATGTGCATTGAATTCTGTAGGACTGCCTTTCCCAAACTGGATCTGTCTTGACTTAAATCTCTCATTATTTGCCCATTGTGGCTTCCTAGCACATTTAAGGAGCGGCAAGTTGGATCAGGCTTTTTGGGTTTGTCTGGGCAGCCGTGCCCCTATTCCCCTGATACCATCATTTGCTGGTTTCCCAGCTTTTGTGCAGACTTTTTTTGTCTTCTAAATGGTTTCAGCGCACCTCCTAAAGCTTCATACTTACTATAAGAGCCCTAACTTCAAATAGACTGGTATTTCTGGTCTCACTCTTTTGACCCTTCATAGGTCATGGGAGTGCTGACCCAGAGCACTTCTCTGAATGAGGTTTGACCGGATGCCTTTACTTTAGGGTCCCTTTTTCCACTCTAAAATATGAAGAGGGGAAGCCTTCAGTGTATGAAACAGCTCACATGTTATTGAATGTGTGTATGCTATGAAGATACAACCATCCGTTGTGACCATCTCCATTCTAGGTCACATTCTGTGTCTTAACATGAAAATATTGCTTTTTTTTAGCAATTCTTGGTTAGATGACGGAATTCAGCAAAGGCCCTTGCTTTACAACGGTTGAATGAAAAGTAATGCCTTCGTAACTCCTCAACAGATGGCAGTACTGATATGTGGCAGGTACTGGCTTGTTCAGTAGACTCTCCTCTACAGTTCCATTTTGGCGGGAAGTCTTAGCATTGAACAGTCGTATTGTTAAAGTGTGAAGTATGGAACCCTGCGCAGATGGTCGGTCAATGTGACTTATGCAGTCATTGAATTCTTGACAGCAGAAGGTGTCACCCCAAAGGAGATTCATCAGAGAATGAAAGCTGTTTATGGTGATTGTGTTGCTGTGAGTACTGTGTGTCGTTGGGCGAATAAGTTTAAAGATGTTGAGGTTATTTATTTGTCGTGTCAGGGCAGCCAGTCAATTATATTACATTTCTAACAGAACAAAGCAAACAAACAGACAAAATACAAAATTTGTGAAGTTTGGTAGTTGATTAAATGTCCTTTGACCAGTATCTGGCCACTTGGAGTGCTTCTGGTGTTGCTGCAAGAAGGTCCTCCATTGTGCATGTGGCAGGGCTCAGGTTGCATTGCAGCAGGTGGTCAGTGGTTTGCTCTTCTCCACACTCGCATGTCGTGGATTCCACTTTGTGGCCCCATTTCTTGAGGTTGGCTCTGCATCTTGTGGTGCCCGAGCGCAGTCTGTTCAGCGCCTTCCAAGTCGCCCAGTTTTCTGTGTGCCCAGGGGGGAGTCTCTCATTTGGTATCAGCCATTGATTGAGGTTCTGGGTTTGAGCCTGCCACTTTTGGACTCTCGCTTGCTGAGGTGTTCCAGCGAATGTCTCTGTAGATCTTAGAAAACTATTAATTGATTTAAGTCATTGGCATGCTGGCTGATATCCAAACATGGGGTGGGCCGGAGATGTCACTGCCTTGGTCCTTTCACTATTGGTTGCTACTCCCCAGGATGTCAGCGGGTGCGATACCGGCTAAGCAGTGTAATTTCTCCAGTGGTGTAGGGCGCAGACACCCCTGATAATATGGCATGTCTCATTAAGAGCCACATCCAATGTTTTAGCATGGTGATATGTGTTCCACACTGGGCATGCGTATTCAGCAACAGAGTAGCAAAGTTCAAGGGCAGATGTCTTCACTGTGTCTGGTTTTGATCCCCAGGTTGTGCCAGTCAGCTTTCATTTTATATTGTTTCTAGCGCCGGAACATCTGACTTGCGTGACAAACAAATAGTTGGACGTCCTGTGACAGCAACCACCGAGTTTCACAAGCAAAAGATTGACAAATTGATTCAGGATGATCATAATTTCACTCAGAGAGAAATTTCAAGCATAATTGGCATTTCCCAAGAACGTGTGGGTTACATTATTATTTTGCTTGGCTATCGGAAGATCTGCACAATGGGTACACAGCAGAACTTCAGATACTGGATGTCACCACCATACGGCATCCTCCATACAGTTCAGATTTAGCACCGTCTGACTTCCATCTGTTCCCGATAATGAAAGATCTGCGGGGACATCATGTTGCTTCTGATGAAGACGTTGAGAGAACTTTGAGATGCTGGTTGTGGAAAAGGAGAGTTGTTGACTTCTTCTGTGTAGGATTCAGAAAACTTGTTAATTGTTGACAGAAATGTATCCAATTGTCTGGTGATTATGTGGAAAAGTGAATAGTGGTAGTTAAAGAGCACATTCTAAGGATTATTTATGCGTTCGATTTATTAAAATATTCCCATCCAAACCCAAGTAACGAAGGTGGAGGCATTACTTTTCATTCAACCCTCATATTTTACTTTGTGACTTTGATTTGCCATCCAGGTCCTATAAACCCTCCATATATAGGAATCAAAGAACACATGTTGCTTTCTAGATTTGCTTTGCATCTTGGCTTGTTTTGACCCTCTTGGGGAGCCGCCTCTTGATACAGAAAGCCAATCTTCCACAGCTTCCCAACTCCTTGAATCAGAGTGACATGAAGCAATAATCTTGAAGATCACAGTGTAAGCGCTGAGAGACTCTCTTGGTTACCGGATCTGGAGGAAATCACCAACACATCCCAGTCCTACGTGCTTGTTTTTCTCCGCTTGTCTTTTCCACCTGAGGTTTAGCCTCAGTAGAGGAGCTTTGCCCAGGGGCCATGTTTGCTTGTGTGAATAATAAATATATTAAAAGACTAATGGGAGTATATATACTGTTTGCCCTTAGGTCCTGATGGGGATCGGGATGCTGGATCTTACAGTTTTCTTACGTTATACCTTTTGGCCTCCTTCCTCTTCTTTAGCTGGTTGCTCCAAGACCCTGAAATGCAGTTGAGGACAACCTACCGGGGATTCACAGAGGCTGTGGATAGCTACTTCGATCATCTGATTCCCCAAGTGGTTTCTCTTCAGGTAAATAAAAAAAAAAAGGATGGGTCAGTTGTATTTTCTGGTGTACAAGACTACTTTTTAATTATTATGATTATTACTAGCCGTCCCCTGCCACGCGTTGCTGTGGCCCACTCTGGTGGTCATGGGGGTTCTGTGTAGGAGGTTTGGCCCAATTCTATCATTGGTGGGGTTCAGAATGCTCTTTGATTGTAGGCGAACTATAAATCCCAGCAACTACAACTCCCAAATGTCAAGATTCTATTTTCCCCAACTCCACCAGTGTTCACATTTGGGCATATTGAGTATTCGTGTAGAGTTTGGTCCAGTTCCATCATTGTTTGAGTCCACAGTGATCTCTGGGTGTAGGTGAACTACAACTCCAAAACCAAAGGACACTGCCCACTGTGTTCATATTTGGGCATATGGAATATTTGTACCACGTTTGGTTCAGATCCTTCATTGTTTGAATCCACAGTGCCCTCTGGATGTAGGTGAACTACAACTCCTAAACTCAAGGTCAATGCCCACCAAACCCTTCTAGTGTTTACTGTTGGTCATGGGAGTCCTGTATGCCACGTTTGGTTCAATTCCATAATTGGTAGAGTTCAGAATGCTCTTTGATTGTAGGTGAAGTATAAATCCCAGCAACTACAACTCCCAAATGACAAAATCAATTTTTTGAATGAAGGACATTCATTGGCCTGTTAGGTGTATGCTGTCCAAATTTGGTGTCAATTCGTCCAGTTATGTTAATCCCACAAACGAACATGACATTACTTATGACATTTTTATATAGATTCCCATCCAACTCCAAGTAATGAAGGTGGAGGCATTACTTTTCATTCAAACTTCGTACAAGGGGAAAGTCTTGGCAGTGGGCCTGTAAGTTACTTTAGAGACCTATTGTGGATCTGTGTGGTATTTTCCACATTGCGGACATATATTTTCAGATGGAAGGGGGTCCCGACAAGGTTTGCTTTCCTCTTGCCATGTGTCTCCCTTATGCCTTCTATTCATGCTTGATTGTAGGTGTACTATAAATCCCAGCAACTACAACTCCCAAATGACAAAAACTTTTTTTTTTTAGTGATGGTCACTCCTTGGGTTAGTAGGTGTCTTGTGGCCAAATTTGGCAGCAATTCGTCCAGTGGTTTTTTTAGCTATGTTAATCCTACAAACAAACATTACATTTTTATTTATATAGATATAACTATACTATGCTAATAATATAATATATTATATGTATCTTATAAGCCGCTCTGAGTCCCCTTTGGGGTGAGAAGGGTGGCATATAAATGTCATAAGTAAGTAAGTAAATAAATAAATACATGCCATCGTGGTGAGCCATCCTGCGAACGCACTGGACCAAATATGACAACAGTTGACAATGTTATCTGCACCCCTCCTTTTCAATGAACATTTGTAGATGGATTAGATTGATTGGCTTATCTTTTCTCCTTTCTCTTTGTAGTACAAGTATGGTGGTCCGATCATCGCTGTGCAGGTGGAGAATGAGTATGGCTCCTATGCCCAAGATCCGAGTTACATGACGTATATAAAAATGGTAAAGACCCCCCTGTCGGTCTCTTCTTAAATTACTCTTTTCTGCTGTTTCTGATTTTACTGTTGTGCCTGCCTCTCTTCTTCCTCCTCTATATTGATGAAGGCATGTGACGGGGTTGTACTTCTGATGACAAGCGTAGGGGCGTCCTGCTTTCCTTGTATCCTGCTTATAGGCTTCTCTTGGGCACTTGATCTACCATTGTATGGCTTTCAAAGCCATCTTCTATGTGCTGAGTCAGGTTCAACACTTGCGATGTGCAGCTTTTGCCTTTTCTGAAGCCAGCTTGCTGTGGGATCAGACATGGGTCTATTTTTCCCTGTAATTCTATGCAAAATAAGTCTCTCCAGAACTTTGTAGAGGTGGCACAACAGGGAGATTGGTCTGTAGCTTTTTGGGTCATTACGGTCTTTGCCTGGCTTCAAGATGGCGATGACTCTTGCTTTCCTCCAGATTTTGGGGATCTGACAGGATGCAGTGCGGTTGTTCATCAGCTCCAGCAGCCAGTGCCTTGCTTTTGGACCAAAGTTCTTGATTTGTTCCATCCGTAGATCATCCAGGCCAGCTGCTTTGCCATTTTTACATTTATTGAGAGCCATGTCCAATTCGGTAGGTGTAAAGGGTTCATGAAGGTTGTTCTCAATCTCTGGTTGTCTGGCTATTGGTTTCTTTTCTACTTTGGTGGCAAAGTATGTCTCATGGGGGACATGTCTCATGGGGGACATGAGAGAAGCCTCCTCTCAGGATTGCAAGACATCCGGGCGTCCCCTGGGCAACGTCTTTGTAGACAGCTGATTCTCTCGCCACAAAAGTGACCAGCATGCAAGCAAGCAAGCAAAACAACTAACGGTCCTTTTCAGGACCAACCATGACAATAATCTCAATCAACATCGAAGGCATGTCAGCTGCCAAAGAACAACTGCTCTATGAACTGTGCCGACATTTTACTACAACCTTAGCATTGATGTCATTAGTCCTGTGAAATCCACTAATAGACAACGAAATAGTTCAATATTTCCCTACCTTGGCTTAGTTGTTAATTATAATAGAGACTTCAATCAACATTAGGATTTTGAAGGGTAACGATGAAGCAAGTAGGCCAGCATAAAAATACATAATAGAATTTCCCATTTCTCTGTGTGGTTGTGAAAGCTGGACAGTGAAGAAAGCTGAAATTAACCACCCTGTTCTCCTTAGTATCAGTATTCAGGGCTGTAACTCTATTTTTAAAAGTTTCAGATAACAAATGCAACCTTTCTATCAATGAGGTCGAAAAAACCTGACTTCCAAAACTGTTGGTTTTGTATATCGTTTTGATGAATACTTACCTTATATACGCAAGAATAAACCAACCAGAATATAAGTCGAAGCACCTGATTTTACCATAAAAATCAGGTGCTTCGAGTGTAAGCCGAGGTTGGAAAATGCAGCAGCTACTGGTAAATTTGAAAATAAAAATAAAATTACATGAATTGAGGCATCAGTAGGTTCAATGTTTTTGAATATTTACATAAAATTGTAATCTATATAAATAAAAATGTAATGTTCGTTTGTGGGATTGACAGAACTCAAAAACYACTGGAGGAATTGATACCAAATTTGGACATAAGACACCTAACAACCCAATGTATGTCCTTCACTCATAAAAMCACTGAAAAACACAGCAGAAGAGACTTTAAAAGCCCCCAAAAGCTAAATGACAATACAGTAAAAAAGGGAAAAAAGAGGGAGGGAAGGGGAGAAAAAAAGAAAGAAAGAAAGAAAGAAAGAAAGAAAGAAAGAAAGAAAGAAAGAAAGAAAGAAAAGARRGAGGGAGGGAGGGAGGGAAAGAAAGAAGGAAAGGGAGAAGGAAGCATGGAAGTAAAGAGAGAAAGAAGGAAGGAARGAGGTAGAGAAGGAAGAAAGGAGAGAAAGAGGGAGGGAAAGAAAAAGGGGGAAGGAAGGAAAGTTAGAGAAAGAAGGAAGGAGAAAAGGAAAGAAAATAGGGAAAGAAGGAAGGAAAGAGGGGGCGAAGGTAAGGGGGAAGATGTAGAGAAAGAGGGAGGGAAGGAAAGAGAGAAGGAAGAAAAGAGAGACAGCAGAAGAGAAAGRAAAAGGGGAAAGGAAGAAAAGAGATAGAGAAGGAAGGAAGAAGAGAAGGAAAGAGGGAGTGAAGGAAGGAGGGAAAGAAGGAGAGAAAGAGGGAAGGTTRGCCACAGCAACACGTGGCGGGTACTGCTAGTTTAAAATAATTCTGATTAAACCATTATTCTAACCTTCTTCAGTATAAATGTGCTCACATATCCTTCCAATAATAATAAAGAGAGCAAAATAATAAATTTAATAAAAAAACAATAATAGAGTAAAATAATAGAAATGTAATAATAACAATAATAATAATATGTAATAATAACAGTAATAATAGAGTAAAATAATACATGTAATCATAATAAATAGAGTATAATAATGTAATAATAACAATACTAAATTGAAGAAAAATAATAAATATAATATTAATAATAATAATAGAGTAAAATAATAAATGTAATAAAATAATAATGAGTAAAGTAATGTAAATGTAATGATAACAAATAATAAATGTAATAATAATAATATAATTATAACCCAGTAAAATAATAAATAACTTTGACTTGAGTATAAACCGAGGGGGGCTTTTTCAGTCTAAAAAAAGGGCTGAAAAACTTGGGTTATACATGAGTATATATGGTATGTTAAAATTAGAGATTCAAGAGGTTATCTTTTTGACTACAGAATTCCAGAATCCCCAGCCAGGGAGAATCTGGGACCTTTTCTAAGATGCAATTTAAAATGCTATCCTTTCTAAACAGTAACCATACTACTTTTTAGTCAGTGAGAGAATGTAGTTTAATTGATGCAATGAAGTGGTCTGGCCTAATTAAGGGTGGGTTTTTTTGTTTTTGTTTTTGCTTAGGAAATGTCTCTTCTCATGGGTTTGAGATATAGTTTGCCATCATTTGATTTCAAAAACTAGTCAGCACACTAAGGTTAAAAATAGAAGACCAAGGAAACAACTTATTATTAGCTGCAAAATATTTCTGATTTTACCAGTGCTTGGGTCATTGCGTTCAAAAATAGGAAGTCTGACTTTTAGCTGAGCGATTTAAGAGGGGTGTTTACTGAGCTTCTAAAATAAATAGGACATAAACACTGAAGTGTGCATTTGTCCCTGTGGCCAGACTCCGAACCTTCCTTGCAAGGGATTATTTTGCAAACCAGACGAAGGCAGTTTTGTAAACTGTTGTAATCTGACGCTCATCCTGAGACAGGCTAATTTTGCTAATGCCTCCTTCCGTTGCCTCATCCATCTAGCAGCGATCTTTGCATAGAGACTGCGGTTTGGACAACTGGAATAGGCAGGCGCTGAGGAAAAGCCGTTTTTAGCTTGGCAAATTCTTCTGGAGCAGCACCTTTTTTTTCTCTCAGCTGGGAATACGGCCAACCTGGGGATATCTGGGAACTGTAGCTCAAAGAAAAGTGATGTTTTCAAGCCGAGATTCAAATGCAAGCAAGGCATTGTCAAGGGTCTTGTTATAGCTGGTCATTTGTTTTGCTAGGCATTGTTGTAAGGGAGAATGGACAATGACAGCTTTATTTGCAGAAGCCAACGTGGTGTGCTGGCTAGCAAAATAGAATGGGGCTCTTGAGCTCTGTATTCTTGGCCTCAGTGAGCTATAAAATTAAGTGACCTAAATCTCATTGTTAGTCCCAACGGGAGGAGACACATTGGAGAGATCACACCATTGTAAGCAAAGCAAATGAACAGAGAGTTCCTTGAAATAACTCTGTTGACCATCCTGTGTCAGGTCATTCCACTTTCCTGCAATCCAATGTCCTCTGAGTGAGTGTTTTGGACTATAATTCCCATGGCTGTTGATCTTTCTGGTTAGGAATCCCTGGAAGATAGGAGTTTTAGGAAGTCTATCTTAAGATGAAACCCCTTTGGCCACTCTGGTGCAGATCTGATGAGACAGGTCGTTCTGCCTTTTTGTTTCTCTGGGTAACAGTCATGGCAGGTGAGAAAGGGAAATGCTATATAACTCCTAAAACCAAAAGAACAGAAAAATAGACTATAAAATGTAATATAATATATTGTATATACATATAATATTTATAGTATTATAATGTAATACAATGCAATACTAATAATAATATGATATTGTAATTATATATTTTATATTACATGTAATATTACTAATAATATTACAATATAATGGTGTAGTACAATATATAGTAATATATAATATTGATATTGTACTATGCTAATAATATAATTTATTGTATGTGTGTGTGTGTGTGTGTGTGTGTGTGTGTGTGTGTGTGTGTATATCTTGTAAGCCGCTCTGAATCCCCTTCAGGGTGAGAAGGGCGGCATATAAATGTCGTAAATAATAAATCTATATAAATAAAACTGTAATGTTCATTTGTGGGATTAACATAACTCAAAAACCACTGGACGAATTGACATGAAGTTTGGACATAAGACACCTCTCAGGCCAACGAGTGACCATCACACATAAAAACACTGAAAAACACAGCAGAAGAGACGTAAAAAGCCAACACATGCACAAAACACACACATATATACACATATACACAAATATATACATACACATATACACACATAAAACACATATACATAGACTGGGCCACAGCAACGCGTGCCAGGGGATGGCTAGTAAATAAATAAAACCAGTAAAATGTTGGCATTTGTTCTGTGAGACTCCTTTTATTAATCTTTAGAATGTCCCCCAGGGCACAGTGGGTTAAACCACTGAGATGCTAAACTTCTTGACCAAAAGGTTGCAAGTTCAAATACAGGGAGCTGCGTGAGCTTCCGCTGTCAGCCCCAGCTTCTGCCAACCTAGCAATTCAAAAACATGCAAGTGTGAGTAGATCAATAGGTACTGCTTCTGTGGGAAGGTAATGGCATTCCATGCAGTCATGCTGGCTACATGACCTTGGAGGTGTCTACGGACAACTCC